CCCCCAAAACCCCAAAACCCCAAAACCCCTTTAATTATTAACAAAATTGAATATTTTAAATATGAATTTCAGAACAAGCAAACTATCCGTCAAAAACCGACTCAAAAGGTACCAATCCCAATACAATTCTAGATCCCGAGAGTTTCAGAAATTTGTTAACCAAAACATCTCCCATTTTCGAAAGAAAGGCTCCATTAGTAAGTTCCCAAGCTAGATTTAGAAACTAGTGATATCGTCAAGAGCTCACTTGATAAGGAATACCTCTCTTCGCTTCTTATTGAGAGGAAACCTAGTAAAAATAGCAAATAAATACGGTCTCAAGAATATGACTTTGGAGAGTATCGGAGTCCAAAGCGTAAAATCTCATTACAAAAATGACTCATTCATGAACCATAAGAGTAAGCTGAGCAAATCTGGGAGACCTTCACCTCCCAAATCTGAGAATAGGAATTATCAAGATGATCACAAGGAAACTGATCTTGAGACAATTTTCCATGAAAAACCCCTGCCGATGATCTACTATCCCAACATGAGCTTAGAAAATGACGGCCATGAAAGGTTGTTCAACGATAAATAAACTAGAAAGTGTCACATCTAGTAATTGGAACTCTTTTGTAGGTGTCATAAAACCTCCAAATCCTCGAGAAGAGCCATACATCAACGTCTCAGATCAAAAATTCAGAGAAAATAGAGCGTCTACTTCCCATGTCAGAGGCAAAAAGAGGTTCCAAAATAGTAGAGGAAGAAATAAGGGATTAATGATAAAAATAAACGAGAACTCTGTAATCGCTCAAAGTCAAAAGCCTTCATTCTCAACCACAATGCACAAGTAAGCCCTCTATAGTTAGCTCTTATAGAAATTCAACAAACCACAAAGCTGCTAGCTCCGTCCTCAGCAACAGAAGGATGATTAAGCTAGAAAATACCTACAAAAAATTACTAAATGAGACCTTTAGACACAAAATCAGTACCAAAAAGGCTTTAAAAATCTCAAAGTCCCAACAAAGAATACCCAAAGAGAGCAAGGATCTAGACAACTTCTACCGCACAATGAAAGAGAGGAAGGAACTCAGCGTAAGCAAGGCTAAGGAGAATAACGAAAAGTTCTTGCATGAATTCCAATCTAAAATGAAACAAAACTATGTCCCCAAAAGTCGTAACAAAAGATCAAGGATCTCAAACATCAGGTTCAATCTCACTGAGGGCGAATGGTAATTCCATCTTTAAATCATAGGAAAAATAGTAGTTTTATGAAGAACTCTTACCTTGGGTCTCAAGAGGACACAAGGTATTCAACCAAGCCTGAACAGAGAAAGCCAAGTCTTGGATGGGCAACAACAGCCCCTGCTAAATATCCCATTCCTAAAACATCCAAAAAGAGGGTAAATCAGATTCTAAATCCATGAATTAACCCTGGCGATGGACTGATGGATAAATACCAGCAATTCAAACATCAAGCTGAACGGAAATACGTTATTAGGACAAAGAATGAGGTTACCCAGATAAAGGAAGGAAAATACCAAAAGGAAATGGTCAACTATTATCTAAACAAGAAGACTGATCAAATAAATTCTCATTTCACTTACTGAATAGAACGCATCCTCAAAGTTCAATACAAGGGATATCTCAGAGATATAGAGAAAATAGGCAGATATCAGAAAGAGATCAGCCAGGCTACTGCTGGTAACAGGTTTGGCCGCAAGAAAATTGCCATTGAAATGCACAGAATTGAGAAAAGACTCCAAAATTACAAGCAACATGCTCCATTCCACTTAACTTAAATTTGAAATATTTTTCAACAACTATACAGCATGATGGGGTTTTGGGGTTTTGGGGTTTTGGGGTTTTGGGG